ACCCAGAGGACTCACTACCATGTCCTTCCTTGGATCCTAAGATTTCTCTAGATAGTCTGCCTTACTCTCCCGCTTTCCAGAATTTGTTATGTTGTTTTATATATAGTGTCCAGGATTTTCAGTTGTACTTAGCAGGATGATAGAAAATGTATTCTATTCCATCTTCTTGGCAATGGAAGATTCTCAGGGGAGTTTTTAAAAAATCTTTTTGAGATGTGAAATAATACTGCATGTTTGCATGCTGATGGGAACAGTGGGAGGAACATTAACGATTGTAGGCAAAGAGAATTCTGGCAAGATGCCCTTGAGGAGGCGGCGGAGGGGATAATATCACGTGCACGGGTTAGCCACGAATAGGAGAATGGACGGTTCATCTAGTAATGGGTGTGAAGGCAGAGAACGTGAGCACACATGCAGTTAAATAAGTCTAGTGATGAAGAATAAAAGAAGGAAAAAAGGATAACGAGTGGTGGGTGGAGACATTTTACACAGATGGTTTCTCAGAGTAGATAACTTTGATCACAGACCTGCATGAAACAAAGGAGTGAAGCGGGTAATATTTTTGGGGAAACTGACAGTTGGAATTGAGTTTGTCATGTTCCAGAAACAGAAAGAAGACTCCTCTTCTGAGCAGCTCTGCTAGACGCTCTTGCCCCTCCCAGAACTAATCAACCTTTTCTTGGGGACCATTTGGCTTCACCTCTGTTTTTAACACTGGTCATTCTCTCTGTACTGCAGTAAACTTCTTCCAGCTTTCTAACGTCTCCCCCATTAGAGAGTCAGTCCTGGGGGCCAGGGACTGCACCTGCCATCTTTGTAGCCTAGCAGTTTGCACCATGCCCAACACTTAGGTGCTGTTCAGTTAATACCAGTTTGTTTTTCCATTCTGGGATACTTCACTAGTAGTATGGGTTCCAGCTCTAACCAGGAAAATATAAGATGTGCTATATCACCGTTGTTTCTTAAAGCTGAATAGTACTCATGGTATACATATACACATTTATTAATCCATTCTTGGATTGATGGGCCTTGGGCTATTTCCACAGCTTGCAATTTAATTTGTGCTGCTATAACTTCGAGTGCAGGTGTCTTTTTTGTAGAGTGTCATTGGATCTTTTGGGTAGATGCCAGCAATGGGATTGCTGGATCAAATGGTAGATTCACTTGTATCGCTTTAAGGTATCTCCATATTGCTTTCCACAGAGGTTGAACTAGTTTGCAGTCCCACCAGCAGTGTAGGAGTGTTCCTCCTCTCTCCGACCACGCCAGCATTTGTTATTTGGAGACTTTTTTGAGAAAGGCCATTCTCACTGGAGTTAAGTGATATATCATTGTGGTTTTGATTTGCATTTCCCTGATGATTAGAGATGTTGAGCATTTTCATATGTTTGTTGGCCATTCATTTTTTATTTCATATTTTCAGAGATAGAATGGAAACTACAGAGTGGGAACTGTGCTCCTGGTTTTACTTTCTCCTGATCCTCGCTCCTCAGATGTCCATGCATGACAATGTGGATGGTCCCTTCCTGGGCAGATGGCCCAGACCACCCCTCCTTTCTTCCCTTGACCACCTCCTCTCTGTCTTCCATGGCTTTGCTCTTTTAAAACCCTCTCCCTCAACTACTTAGATTCCTCTTTTCCTGGGTCATGACTCTTTTCAGAAACTGCAAGTCTTCGGCCTCCTCTTCCAGCTTTGAAATTTGGCAATGGGCTCCTCCCAGGCTCCTTCCCCCTCCCTCTTTCTAGGCCATGTGGGGTGGGGACAGGCTTTAAAGAGTGTAGGAGGAGGGAAGGAAGGTCTTCTTTTTCTGCAATCTGCCTCTTATATTTTAACATTTGGACTCTCTCACTACTTGGATTTGGTTTTTGTGGCACTACACCTCAAAAAAGATTCATGCATTGTTGCTAATCCCCCTGGGCTGGTACCTAGTATAATTTTAGACCTTATACTAAAGATTGTCTTCTGTGCCCACCTTGTTACCTTACAAATCCCTTGTTAATTTCCTTTGGTAATTTCCTCGCATGCAGGACCCACTTCCCAATTGGAGTTCCCCTCTACCCACTAACTGGAAAGCCTAAGAATCCCTTTTAATTTCCTTTCCAACTTCTACTTATCCTTTGAGATTTGGCTCTTGGATGAGCTTCCTAAACACAGAACCCCTTCTCCTCCCACACCAAGGCCTTCCTCCGCCGGGCTAGAGGCCTCCTCCCTGTGGGGTGCTTACTCTGATGGAACACACACCACCACCAGATCTAAGGCTCATTTTTCATGTCTGTTTCCCTCATGAGGACTCCCTAAAGGTATCTTTTCCTCGTTTCTCCTGGCTTCAGTCAACGTGCCAAGGATCTAGTGAATGATTTATGTAAAAACAAATGCTTATTCCACCCCATCCCACAGATCTAAGGCAGAAGGACCCCAGGTTGAGCAGGGAACCTGGCCTTAGGATTTGGAGAAGGGACTGAGCACTCTCTGCAAGGAGGGTTGCCAGGGCAGGAAGTGGACACCTGGTTCTCAGAGTTTCCCCTGTCCTCTAGAGGGAATTGCAATCCACAGCAGGGGACCGATGGCAGGTAGAGAGTGGGGAGTGTGAAGACCACAGAACTCAGCTGGAGAAAATGAGGCAAAAATAAATGGAAAAACTGTCAACCTTGAGAGGTACTGAGAGATGACTCAGTGGCACTGCAGGGCAATGCCCCTCTGTCCTGAAGGGTCTGGTTTGATTTCTTTGAAAAGAAGCTGGGGAGGAGTGGGCTGTTCCTGCTAAAGCTGCAGACCTACTGAGATCCCAGCAACAAGTGGGTGTTCTCTTCGCTGAGAGGTGAGAACACACCATGGTCGGTGCGGCTCCAGGAGGCTGACGCTCACCCCTCCCGTCTGAGTCAGTGTGGGGAGCTGGGTGAGGCGTCTTTGTTCTGGATGCAAAGTCTCTGAGCTGCTGCTCAGGTAATGATTATAGATGTGGCCCAGGGTGAGGTCACTACTAGGAAAAAGGCATTCAATAGTGACTGATAAATCAGGAAAGTTGACATTTAAGGATGATCTCCATGAACAACTTCAGGGTCTTAAAACTTACCCCAGAGAAAAATTCAGAACTGACAACAGCAAGAACTGAGGGGAAAGAACTGGCCTTGTATCAACAGTTTTTGCTAATTTTCAGGTGAAAGGTGATGGATGTCTAGAGTTTATCTTGGTGTTAAATTTATTTTAAAAAAATAAAAAGAATGGCTAACTGGCAAAAGAGAGAGCAGGGATCAAAATGGACACCAAATGGTGATGGAATAATAATCTGATATAGGAATGTGGCAGTCAGTGGAGGAAGATTGGCAGGCAATGGGAAGTTGCTGAAATGTTCACAGATCCTGGGAGGAAAGGTAAGGACTATATGGAAAATCCGTTATTTTCAGGCATTCAAGAGCATGAGGAGATCTTATGTAATTTGTTCCTGCTCTAAGGGGACCAGCTAAGAAGTGGCTTTTTTGTGTTTTTAGCAAAAGTGAGAAGGAATAATAGAATTAGCAGCTGACAAATTACACTTTGATGATGATAAATTATCATATGATTTTTAGTATTTCACTTGGAAGGGTTCAAAAATGGAGTGTCATTGCTATAAAAAACTCTTCCTATTTCCATCTATTATTTATATAAATAATTCGAAAAATAGGAAAAAATTGATGCCAATTCTGTCTTATTCTGGCAACAAGTTATTTTCACCCATGAACACGAACTAATAAGGGAAAAAACCACAACTTCCATCTCAATGAGGTGCATTCCTATTAATTTTTATTATTTTGTTTACTAATTATTTATCAAATATGTAAGTATGTTATTTTGATTCAATGTTTGCTAATAATCATTGGAATAATATTCAATCTAAAAAACTAACATTTAGAGTCTTATGGTTATAGAAAAATTTTAAAAAACACATTTCAAATAATAGATGATTTGCTTAATTTGTGTCTTTATTGAAAAGGAGCCAGTGTGACGGTTCACACCTTTTATCCCAGCACCTTGAGAGGCTGAGATGGGAGGATCACCTTGAGGACAGAGTTTTAGTGCAGTGAGCTATCAGTGAGCTAGGCTGATGTCATGGCACAAAAAAAAAAAAAAAAAAAAAAGAGGAAAGAAAATATCTTTCTTTTTTTTTTTTTTTGAAACAGAGTCTCACTCTGTTGCCCAGGGTTGGAGTGCCATGGCATCAGCCTAGCGCATTGATAGCTCACTGTAGCCTAAAACTCCTGGCTCAAGCGATCCTCCTGCCTCAGCCTCCCGAGTAGCTGGGACTACAGGCGTGTGCCACCATGCCCAGCTAAATTTTTTCTATATATTTTTAGTTGTTCCAGGCTATTTCTGTTTTTTTAGGAGAGACAGGTCTCGAACTCCTGAGCTCAAATGATCCGCCGCCCTTGGCCTCCCAGAGTGCTAGGATTACAGGTGTGAGCCACCACGCCGGCCCCAGAAAATATATTCTTACTAAAAAATTATTTTGTAAAGAATCTAGGCTGAAAATAAGTCTTTTTCCCTTCCCTGTCCCTAGCCCGCCCTGTTCTCTCACCAGAGACACTGTCTAAAACCAGTTTCTTGGTCATCCCTTCACAGACTCTGTGTGTGAACATTGAGCACTTAGTGCTCAAATGCTCAGTAAGTGTGACCACTTTTCATGTGTTTCTCCATCCAGAAAAGAGCCTTTTTCTCTCCACTACTTTCCTCTGAGGTGGCTAGGCATAGCCTTGGAGATGTTATCCAAAGCTCAACCTTGTCCCCAGGGCACATCAGAAGAGCAAGGACAAGTGTGTTTGAGAAGGAAAGAGAAGTTTATTAATTTGCCAGCAAATGAGGAGGTTGGCAGACTCCCATCTTACAGTACAAACGTCCTATTTATGAGCAGAAATACGGAGTTTTAAAGGGGAAGTTTTCGGCTTCAGGCTATTGCTGGTCCACTGTAGTTGATGATTCTGATTCATCCCATCTTCCGCTAAGACAGTCTCATAAACCTTCACCTGAACAACTCCCTTGAGCCATCTCCTGTGGGACAAGAACAAAGGACACTCTCCTGCCCCTCCTGACCACTGGCCTAGGGCAGGGATGCATGTTTTAATTCCCAAAAGGAGTAAGGGAGCTTTTAGGAGAGACGAAAATATTTTTTGCCCCTTTCCAGGCCATTCCCCCTGTATAGAGAGGCTGGTGGAAATGATATTAGGAAGCCCAGAGAGAGCCTGCTCAAGTGACATAGAAGTACAAAGCCCCAACAGCCATGGCGGCCTCCCCCACACTTCCCATCAGTGCCCACTGCCCCTGCTCAAGGGCTTCCAGCTCAGGGTATTGTGAGTTGAATTGTGTCCCTCGAAAGATATGTTGAAGTCCTAACCCCTGGTACTCGTGAATGTGACTTTATTTGGAAATAGGGTTTTGCAGACACCAATCAAGTTAAAAGAGACACCACTGGGTTAGGGTGGGACTTACATCTGATGACTGATGTCCTCATAAAGATACCATGTGAAGAAGATACAGACACAGAGACACCCAGGGAGAACATCGTCCGACAATGAAGGCAGAGACTGGAACGGTGTGTCTGCAAGCCAAGGAACACCAAGGGTTGCCAGCAGCCCCCAGAAGCTAGGAGAGAGGCATGGAGTAGATTCTCTCTCCTCAGAGCCCTTGGAAGGAACCAACTCTGCCAACACAGTGATTTCAGACTTCTAGCCTCCAGGACTGGGAGAGAATACGTTTCTGTTGTTTTAAGCCGATAGCTGGTGGTACTTTGGTGTGGCAGCTGTAGGAAACTAACACAGGGGTCCCGAGCAGGCCAGGGAGGTTTCCTTCCCGCAGCAGGAGCTGTGGGTGTCCTGCCCAGAACCCTGCCCTCCCTTTTAGCAGCCAGACTGTGGCCTTCCCTGGAGGATAGAGCCACTGCTCTAGCAGTGCCTGGGAATGTGCCCCTTCCTCCCGAGTGGCTCATAGCCACTGACAGTTGAATAACAGTCCAGCCCCTGTGCTTGGAGGCAGGTAGACTGGGTGCCCTTTATACCCCAGAGCCCTCCAAGCCATCAGGCTGAGCCTAGATGTCAGCTGACCCCCATCTGAGCTCAGCTGCTTCCCTGGCCCCAGCCTGCTCCCCTCCTGCCACCCGAGGTTCACGTAAGAGCACCCCCCACCCTAGATCACCTGCACCTGAACCCCTGTATCAGACTCTGCTTCTAGGGGACCTGATAAGACACTTTGCAGGGCTCCACTCCTCTGTGCTTGGGATCATGGCTGTCCTAAGGTGCTGTGTGTGCGATGCCCACGTGGTGTAAACTTGCACCTGCACTGAGTGAAGCCCTGGGGCTCTGCTGGGTACCGGAGCTGCTGGGCGATTTGTAAGGGCGACACTGATGAAGTCCTTGTGGACACTGGTGGAGGGAACACCTGGCAGTCTCAGGGTGTGGATGACAGTAGAACCTTCCCCTGTGGAGCTCTGACGCTCTGCAGAAGGTGACCGAGTACCCAGATAGCCCGGTAACACCCCTGGTGGCCTTTTGCCAGGCTTACCCACCTGCTTGTCCTGGAGGGCAGCCTTGGGCTCCTTCTCCAAGGCTCCCAAAGCCTTTCCTCTTTCCATCCTCTTCCTCTTCTCTCTTGCACCCCCCCCCCATATATTTAGTAATGTATTCAACAAATCTTAATAGAGTATCAGCTTTGCCTTGGGCACTGCTTTAGTTGCTGGGGATCGAGCTAGAACTGAGAGAGAATCAATTTCTGCTGTTTTAACCCACCCAGTTTTGGTGCTTTGTTACAATTGCCTTAGGAAATTGATGCAACACATTTGTGCCTTTGCCTGTGCCAACCCTTCCACTGGAATGCCATCGACCCTACCTTGTTCGCTTAGCTTCACCTGTCAAAAACCCATCTTGAGGCCGGGCATGGTGGCTCACACCTGTAATCCTAGCACTCTGGGAGGCCGAGGCAGGGTGGATCATTCAAGGTCAGGAGTTCAAGACCAGCCTGAGCAAGAGTGAGACCCCATCTTTACTAAAAAAAATATAAAGAAATTAGCTGTACAACTAAAAATATATAGAAAATTTAGTCGGAAATGGTGGCACGTGCCTGTAGTCCCAGCTACTTGGGAGGCTGAGGCAGGAGGATCACTTGACTCCAGGAATTTTGAGGTTGCTGTGAGCTGATGCCATGGCACTCTAGCCGGGGCAACAGAGTGAGACTCAAAAAGAAACAAACAAACAAACAAACAAACAAACCCCCCCCATTTTGAATGTCCCTCTCCTTTTTGAAGCCCACCCTAAAATAGATTTAATCACATCCTTTCTTGTATTTCCATTGTATCTCATACATACATCTATCAAAACAACTGTCGTTCTATATCATTGTCATTTGTTTACCTGCCTGTTGTTCCCACGAGGGGGGGGGCGTGCTCCTGGAGAGCAGGAACAGATCCCAGGGATCCCTGCACCGTGAGTCCCCAGCTTGACTCAGACTTACTGAGCTCAGAAGCAGCCTCATAACAGGGGTTCCCAAACCCAGATGTGCATCAGGAACTCCGAGAAGGGTAGAAGTCTGAAACCAAGGTGTCAGCAGGGCCATGCTCCCTCTGAGGTCTCTAGGCAAGAATCCTTGCTTTCCTCTTCCTAGTCATTGGCATTTCTTGGCTTGTAGCTGCATCGCTCCATCCCTACCTCCATCTTCACATAGCCTTCTCTCTGTGTCTCTGTCTTCTGCTCATAAGGACTCCAGTTACTGGACTTAGCGCCCACCTTAATCCATATGGCCTTATCTTAAGCTAATTGCATCTGCAAATATCCTATTTTCACATAAGGCCACATTCACGTGTACTGGGGATTAGAACTTAGAACATATCTTTTGCAGGGGACAGAAATCAACCCCATTTCCAGATGTTGGGAGATTTGGAAACCCAGATCCTGAGCCCCTCAAAGCCACAGTGTCTTGGGGGTGAGTCTCGGCTGCCATTTTAGGATAGGACGTGTCTGCTCCAGTTTGTGGAGACCCCTGCCAGCCTCCTCAGTCTGATGAGTTACATACCTGTCCTTGTCAGCATTCAGGTCTGTGACCCCTGCTCTGGTGACTACATGGACAGCTAAGGGACCTTGAGGTGGGAGGGAGTCTGGGTTTCTGGGCTTTAGGAAGTGCCTGGGCCAGGCCAAGACCACGATAGGAAAGGACTGAAGATACTCCACATCCAGCAGGAAAACTAACAGTAAGCAAGGGGGTTTCATTAGATGTGGAGTAATTATTAAAAAGCCCAGAAGTCAAAAGGAATAAAAAGAATTGAATGCACATTGAGCACCCAACCTTCTTTACTAGAACCAAAGTAAGTGAAGCAAGAACAAGAGGGCTTCTGTACTTCCCCCTGCCCATCTGCCAGACCACTTGCCATAGGAGACTTGAGGAATTGTCACAGGTTTGCCTCTAACTAAACCTCTTTCACCTGTAAAATGAGGCTAATAAGTCTCCTGCTATACCCTGCTTTCCCAGACTTCTTCAATGTAACACCTCAACTTTGTATCCAGTTGTTTGGTCAAACACTAGTGTAGATGTTGGTGCCAAGGTTTTTCTAAAGATGTGATTAACATTTAAATCAGTAGACTTTGAGTAAAGCAAATAATGCTTTATAATGTGGTTAGATCTCATCCATCAGTTGAAGGCCTTAAAAGACAGAGGTCCCCTGAGTCAGAAGGAATTCTGTCTCCAAATGCCTTTGGACTCAAGACTGCATCATCAACTCTTTCCTGGGTCTTCAGCCTGCCAGCCTGCTATTCAGATTCTGAACTTGCAGTCCCCATGATGTCATGAGCTAATTTTTTAAAATGTCTCTCTCACATACATTCTTACATATATATATATATATATTTGAGACAGAGTCTCACTCTGTTGTCTGGGCTACAGTGCAGTGGCATCATCATAGTTCACAGCAACCTCAGACTCCTGGGCTCAAGTGATCCTTTTGACTCAGCCTCCAGAGTAGCTGGGACTACAGGTGCACACAACTATGCCTGGCTAATTTTTCAATTTTTTGTAGGGATGGGGTCCTGCTATTTCCCAGGTTTTCTTAAATGCCTGGCCTCAAGTGATCCTCCCACTTTGGCCTCTCAAAGTGCTAGGATTATAGGCCGGAACCACTGCACTCAGCTTTTCTCTCATATATGTTTACATCTATCTATCTATCTATCTATCTATCTATCTATCTATCTATCTATCTATCATCTATCTATCTATCTATCTCACCAACAGGATATATGTCATATATCCTATATACCCATATCCTATATGTATATCCTATATATATGTGTGTGTATATATATTTCACCTATAGTATATATGTTCTATTGGTTCTCTGAAGAATTCTGACTCATACAGGTTCCAAGCTAAAGCATGTTTCACGTAATATAATTTATCTCATTTAATGTTCACAGCATTCTCTCAGAAGTAGGCATTGTCGACTCCACTGTGAAGTTGCTTTTGAGAATGCTAAAGGGACAGAGAGACATTAGGAAATTTGCCCAGGTTAGGAAAAATAGGTGCTTCAAGGCAGGTGTGTCTGAATGGAGAACCAGCACGTTGAGTCAAAGCCGAGATGAGACCGAGGTGTGAGCAGGAGAAATGGGTCTCCTAAACTGTTTGGGATCCTTCTATCCTGTCCTCCTCTGGCATGGTGTCCTTCTTGATCTCCCTCCAAGTAACAGTCATCGGAGACTTTCGGGGCGCTAAGCTGAACTAGAAATGAGAGCACACCAGGCAGGCAGAGCCCCTCTAGGTGGGGTGTGTGTGCAATTTAGACAAAGCATTTTGAGGAAGAGATACTTGGGAAAGTCCTACTCTCTGAAAGAGGTATCTCAGTGCCATGCCCTTCGTTGCCCAATTCTTTAGGTTGCAAGTGATGAAAACCCAAATCAAACTGAAGTAAATAAAAAAGGGAGTTTACTGGCTTACGTAATGAAAAGGCCAGAATGCTGGGTGTGATGGGACCCATGTCCTCAGGGTAGGTCATCAGGACAGCCTGTCTTTCACCATCTTTTGGTTCTGCTTTCTCCTGGGTTGGTCTTCTTTTCCAGCAGGTTCTTTTCTGCTGGTGGCAAGATGGTGATGAGCATGTCTAGATTGTCCTCCCACCAGCTGAGGGACCCTGGGGCAGGGGGTGGAGAGAGAGAGAGGATGTACCTGCTTCTCAATAGTTCCCACAAAGGTGCTGAGATGGACGGCCACTGAGCCATCTTGGAACGTGTGCTTATCCATGATCGACCTCTGTGGTCAGAGGTGTGGAATATGATGTCTTCCCCACTGGGGGCCATCCAAGCCCTGGACAATTTAGAGTAAGTATATCAAAGTCCTTCCTGACATAAAAGAATCCCCCAAAGTAGCAATTAGTAGATTTATCTAACTGAAAATGAAAAGCATCTGGCTGTCAACATCCATCGTAAACAAAAGGGAAAACAGAAAATTGGCCAAAAATTATTTGTCAGCAGTCTTACTGTAGTCTTCATATATAAAGGGCACACGGATTGATAAGAAAAACACTGACCCTATGACTTAGAAAAATGGGCAATTAGCGGCACCACTTAGATATCCCATGGGTACCTCAAAATCAGCTTGCAAAATGGAGCCCCTCATTTACCTCAGGTAGAATGTTCTCAGAAGTAACAGAAAATCTGACTGTGAATATCAACTTAAATTGTAAATATAAAGACCAGAGAGATGTTGGCTTCAGATATGGTTTGATGAGAGCTGTAGTTCAATTTCTCTGAAATTTCCTCTTTCTTCCCGTCTCCCCATGTCCAGCTTCCTCCTTGGTAGTCTGGCTGCCCTCTTGGTGACAAAGAGGCTGCAGCAGCTTCAGATTTCATGGATTCACACCACACTGCCCAGAAAGTGTGTGCCAGCATTCCAAACAAAACACTTGATCTCCACACTGGTTAGGTCAGCCTTGAAGCCATCCACAGACAGGGAAATGCCACAGACTGATTGGAAAAAGAGATTATCTTGCTTAATTCAGTCCATCAGAACGCACTTGAGGAGCTGGGTGGGGTCAAACTTCATGGTTGCTGTAAGATGAGATGGGGAAAGAATGATTGCTGGAGAAAAAGCCACAAAGTCCACAATATCATCATTGTCACTAAACATGCCTCTCCTCTCATGTTCCCCATCTTTGTATTGTAGCCCAAGTTATCATTCTAAATCTTGAATAATCACCTTGCTTACAGTCTTCTAATGGTACATGAGCGATAAGGTCCAAATCCTTCACCATGACTGACAAAGTCCTCCAAAAACTGGCATAGGGTCCCAAGATTTTTCTTCCAAGTCTGTCTAGGTTCACCCCTTGCCCCTGACCTTCCCAATATCCCACCCTGTCTTCTGCTTTTCAGACGCACAAATATTCTTTTTCTTTCTTTTGCCTCTAGAATTTTACATACGCTGTTTACTTTGCCTGGGACCCTCTTCCCCCACATCTTCACCTGAGCTAGTTTTTCCCTACCTCTTAAATTTCAGGCTAAGTGCTCCTTCCCCTAGGAAGACTACACTGAACTTTCTCTCCTCCAAGGCTGCATTTAGGGTCTCTGTGTTCATAGATGTCTCTTCTCTGCCCTTTACCTTGTCCGCTCTATGATGACAGAAATAAGCTTTTGTTCAATACTATATCTCTGCTGTCTTCCACCACTCCTTGACACATGGAATGTATCCAATAAATATTTATTGAATAAATGAATGAAATTAACAACATTGCAAGGTGCCTCATGCCTGTAATCCTAGCACTCTAGGAGGGTGAGGTGGGAGAACTGCTTGAGCTCAGCAGTTCAAGACCAGCGTGAGTAAGAGCAAGACCCCTTCTCTATAGAAACATAAAATTATTAATTAAAATTATTAATAAATTATATAAAATTATATAAAAATTATTGTGGCATGCCTGTAGTCCCAGCTACTTGGGAGGCTGAGGCAGGAGGATTGCCTGAGCCCAGGAGTTTGAGGTCGCTGTGAGCTATGGTGACACCACTGTACTCTACCCAGGGCAACAGAGCAAGACTCTGTCTTAAAAAAAATAATAAATAAATTAATTAAAACCTATATACAATATTTATCTCTAGGAAGTGAGATCAAGGCTAATTTTTTATAGCTTTCCATAATGTTCCAAATTTTCTTCAACCAGACTTTATTACTTATATAACAAACACAGTGCAGAAGATGGCAAGTTTTTCCTAATATTGACTGGACATTGATTCATGGTAACTTCCCCCATTGGTACTGGCTCTGACCCTGGATGTCTGTATCTTTTTGCTTTTCTTATGCTCTAATTTTCCAATTTTATAATTCTCTATTTAACTGTGTTTATTTTACTGCTAAATCTGTCTTGAGTTTTTAGTTTTATTATAATTTTTTTCTAGTTCTATTTGTCTTTTTCTAAAGCTACTACCCTCTAACTCCTATTTTCAAGCTTCTCTGTTATTTCTTGAAACATGTTAAACACATATTCTCTTTTTCTATTATGTCCAATATCTGAATTTCTCTAGGACTGATTCTTCTGTTAGTTTTTTTTTTTCCTGCTAACCTTTACTCACGGTGCCTTTTTTCCTTGTATGTATTCTTTATTTTTGTTAAATTTTCATTTCCTTGGACATTTGTGGACATTCTTTCAGAATTGGGATGGGGGAGTTTCCTCCGGAGATTTGGGGTACTATCTGAACCCTGAGGTTACTATCTATACCAGGACCACTTTACGTTATTAGCTGAGGTTTTTCTGACCACTGGGAAAGAGTGAATTGAGGCTTCAAATTCATATAAGGGAATGGCTCGTGGTTATACTTGTCAGGGGAAATGATTTCTGCCTTTGGTCAGCACTAAGGATCAAGACTTTCGCTTCCTAGCTTTGGGGTATGGGGAGGTTCCTACTAGTTTACTGTTACACTATGATGCAGTCCCTTGGGGATACAGCTTTGGGGACATTATCCTCTTAGACTTTCTGCTTTGGGCAACCCATGAGCTTTCTCTTCTTCTCTTTGACTCCCTGAAGTAGAAAAAGTCATACTCAATTTCACAAGAGTTTTATAAATTGCTGTTAAGGTTAAAGCTGGCTTCAGAGCTCTACTTATATACATTAAATTAGTCCCTGCCTGTATAGTCTTCCTTTTTGAGATTCTATGTGCTTTCAGGAAGGTGGGTTTTGTATTTTGTATTTTATTCAGCGTTTTAAGTTGTTTTCACCATGAGGGAAGAGGGATACAAACACAGAATGAGGTATTGTCACTCTATTGTTATGTTGAAATCAGTATCAATATGGATTCATGATTTTTTAAAAAACGATGTGTGTGTGTGTGTGTGTGTGTGTGTGTATCCTAATTGTATCCATTGAAGGATACTAGAAACAATGACATCTAGTAACATGCAGGACACTAATACCCAGATGTTGGTTTCTTTTTAATTTAATTTTATTTATTTTTTAAAAATTATTTCTTTCTATTTTTTAAAATTTTTTTTCAAGAAAGAAAATACAAATTGATCTGAACAGATGTTGGTTTCTAAATTCCATTCCTTACTAAAAGAACCAGGGTTCCTTGAAAAAAAAAATGACTAATTCTATGTCTGAGGCAAGGAAAGAATATTTGAAGCCCTATTTGTATTAGAAAGCAAGAAAGTGCTCAAATATTAATGGGGGCGTGTGAAGAGGACACATGAGTCACTCGAATGGGATCCCCTTGGCCAAATCTAGAAGAATTTGAGCATGAGAAAGGAGCAAGGAGGGCCGCTTTCACACCACAGTGGCAGAATTGAGCAGTAGAAACACTGGTCTTTCTGGGCCTTCATGGAAAAAGTTTCCCTGACTCCTCCCTCAAATTAAAGATGATTAACACCATATAGCAATCAACTACAAATCTAATGCTGAAACTTGATTGGATCCTGGACTTAAAAAAAAAGCTATAGAGGAAAATTTGGGAACAATTGGACTATATATTAAGTGATATTATTGAATAGATGTTAAATTTCTTGAGTGTGATAGTATTGTGATTAAATGTAGGAGGAGTCCTTTTTCTTAGGATATAAAAGCTAATATACTTAGAAGTAATATCACGAAGTCTGCCACTTACTTTCTAATGGCTCAATCAAAGAAAAATCTCTCTCTTTCTCTTCCCACATAAAAAGATATCAAATAAATATGGCAGAACGTTAAAATTGTAGAATCCAGACAAAGGCCATATTTATTGTAGTACTCGTTTAAACGTCTTCATTTTGAATTTTTTAAAATGAAAAGTTGGGGGGAAAAGTGAAAGAAACTTTCTTCATCTTAATACTTCATATAGTTAAATATTCTAGCAGTCAAGTTTTAGGCTGCTTAAAGTGGTTTGTTTAATTTTTTTCAAAATCTAAAGATAAAAAAAATTGAAGACAATTTTTCCAGAGATTTTGTCAGTCTCTTTCTATTCCTACTCTACTGAATATAGAACAATAATTCTCATCTTTGAGGAAGAGAACTGGGTGCTTTCAGCCTGTGTGAGCCACAGGTAACATCCAGTGAGCTGAAAGGGAAGGCCGCCATAACTTAAAAACACCCAGTAATACTCAGTGAAGTTGACTTCTCCACCTTTCGGTTCCTAATCTTTAGTTTTGAACCTTAAGGAATGAAAATTTTCAAATTCAAACAGCTTCATAGAAAGAGTGTGGGCTGAGTAGCAACACAGAACTACATTCAAATCCTAGCCAGGGCCACCTCCTACTGGTAGGACATGTGTAAGAATGACCACCGCCACCACCACAATGTTCATGGGGCATGTGCTACGTGCCAGGTCTAAGAACTTCACAAATGCTAATTTATTTAATTCTTATAACACTGTGAGGTGAGCTGCTATTATCACTCTCATTCTACAGAGGAAGAAACTGAGTCCCAATGTATTAAGAGCTTGTCCAGTGTCACAGTTGATAGGTGCAGTAGCTGGCATTTGCACCAGGCAGTGAGTGTCCTCTGGAGTTCCCACTTGTCACCACTATACTATTCGCTTTTTCAGATGGATGTAGGTTTACCTCCAGAATTGGAGTCTGGAAACTTGGGTCTACCGTCAGACTTCTGCCTGGATCTTGCATGCACCCAGTTAGTCCTCACGGCCATGCCACCAGATAGGGCTTTCAAGGAGAAGACTCCTGGTAAGAGGTAACTGGGTGCCAGTCAGCGTGGCTCACACCTGTAATCCCAGCACTTTGGGAAGCTGAGGCGGGAGGATTGCTTCAAGCCAGGAGTTCAAGACCACCCTGGGCAATATAGTGAGACCCCTGTCTCTACAAAACAATAAAAATGAAAAAAAATTTTTTGCTGAGTATGGTTTTGCATACCTGTAGTCCCAGCTACCAGGGAGGCAGAGGCAGGAGGATCACTTGAGTTCAGGAGTTCAAGGCTGCAGTGAGCTATGATCGTGCCACTGCACTCCAGACTGGGCGACAGAGTGAGATCCCGTCTGTTAAAATAAACAAAAAGAAAAGAGCTCTTTTTGTTATACTCATGGTCACAGTTAAAAAGGAAAAAATAGGCAACTAGCTGGTGGCTGGGTTTTGAGGAGGGGCTGGTCCATGGCCATGTTGACGTTTAACACCCCCAAGCAGAGGGTGCACATAGTCTAACCGTAGTGGTCACCCTAATGATTGGGCCATTCCAGACGAAGTATCTGCAAGGACAACTTTTAGGGGAACCAACTCCCAATCCACAAAATGAGAGATATTTCATAAGGAATGAACCATGAAACAAAATTCTATGACATTCAGTTCTGGGTGGCAGGTGGGTTGGCCAGACAGTTCGAGAAGGCCAGCCCTTTTCTTTGAGGATATGTGCCTGAAACTCTTCCTCGTGAAAATCCGACGCTCATTCGCCTGCATGCTGTGCCCTGCCGCCCTCCTCCCTCCAGAGTGGGGAGAGAGCAGGCAAAGTGCTCACCGTGGCTGCTCAGCCACACGGGCTTCCCGGGAGGGCCAGGGACAGGAACGTCACACAGACACTCTCAGGGAACGAGCTCAGGGGAGAATCATGCACTTGACTTTGTCATTTATACCCTAACCTGAAGTCATTTATACCCTAAAACCTCGTTATTGGCTGGGCGCGGTGGCTCACACCTGTAATCCTAGCACTCTGGGAGACCGACGTGAGTGGATCACTCAAGGTCAGGAGTTCGAAACCAGCCTGAGCAAGAGAGAGACCCCCGTCTCTACTAAAAATAGAAAGACATTAATTGGCCAACTAAAAATATATAGAAAAAATTAGCCGGGCATGGTGGCACATGCTTGTAGTCCCAGCTACTGGGAGGCTGAGGCAGGAGGATTGCTTCAGCCCAGGAGTTTGAAGTTGCAGTGACCTAAGCTGATGCCACGGCACTCTAGGCCGGGTAACACAGTGAGACTGTCTCAAAAAAAAAAAACAAAAACAAAAAACCTTGTTATTAACCTCTTGTAGGTAACAGCCACTACAGTTGTGTGACCCTAACTTAGAGGACGCTATGAATAGTTTCTCAGACCTTCAGGACTGCCCTGCAGTTGGTATGGATCAAACCAAGGGCTGCAGCGGGCTGCAGACAACCTTGCTAAGGACGTCTTAGCACAGTGCCTCTATGCAGCAGGTGAATACTGGTAGTTCCTTTCTTTGAGTCAGTTTGCACTGGTATGCTGACATTTCCCTGGGCAATGCCACCTTTTTGGAAATGCATAATTTCCTAGGCTGTCCCATCCTGGGCCAGGTTCCTTAAATTAGGAACATAAGGGAGGGAGTCAACCCATCCTGCAGGGTGCATGGCCCCCCTCGTGTCATCAAGCACAGTGGTGGCCCCACTGCAAGAACGCCTCTCAATCCTCTCCTCCTGGGGCCTTGGAAACTCATTTCAGGGTAAGTCGTGGCTTTTTTTTTGTCCATTTTTAGAAAGTGCTATTTGGATTTTGCACATAGCTGTGAAAGTAAAAACAGGATTTATAATGCTGGGGATTGAGGAAGAGATTTGCAACTCAAACCCCAAAGGAGAAGTATTGGTCTCCTCAGCTTCCCCCTGACAATGGAGATTAAACATCATCTCCCAACACTGGTGACTGGCAGGCAGTGGGAATTAAAATAGATCTTTGTCATGCCAGGGGGAGGGATGAGAGTGTTGAAGTCTCTCGCTTCTCGGTGGAAGAGTTGACGGTGAAGGCTGGATGCTGAAGGGCAAGGCCTCCATGGCTGGTGGGAAATGGGCAATGCAGAGCCCAGGTGCAGGTCCTCTAAGAGGGGAGGTGGCTGAGATTCCACAGGGGGTCTCCTGCTTAGCTCACCCTGCCTGAAGGCCCAGCGTGGGGAGGCAGGAGGTGCATGGGGCACTGTCCCAGGCCTTCCCTTGCTCATGGTTAGTCTCATGAGCCACACCCTTCCTCCCCAACCTGCTGCTCTGCAGCCTGTCCCCTTCCTGGGCGGGGGGATTATGGCTGGAGGGCAGATCTGAAAATGGACTTAAAAAAGAATGAAAAAAGGAAGAAGAAGAGGGGAAAAGAATAAAAATAGGAATACTATTGAAGTAGAAACACACACTGGAGAGCGGGGAGAAGGCAGATGGCCCCAGAGGGCTGGAAGTTGGGAGAAACATTATGGAGGCTATATATAAGTCCGGCTCTATTCTAAGCACCTGCCAGAATTAAGCAATTCTTTAAATTCTCATGACAGCCCCATGGCAGACACGAGAAGTTGCCCTCTGAGCTCTGACGGTGGGAAGAGAAATTGACCACTGTGTTCTGAAGTTGCTGCCCCTCCAGGGACTGAGCGCAGCAAGTCCATCCCTGGGGGATGTCACTTTGGTTCCATGACATGCCGGTGGCCTTGCCAAAACTTTCCTTCCCTCTCTCGGACACAGGGCACAGGCCTGTCTCCCCAGCCTCCCTCTTTTCCTTCACAGGTGCCCTAACACACCTCTTGCATGTCTAATTCCTTCCCATCTTGGCATCTGCTTCTTGGAAGACCCAAAATATTAATAGCAGAAACTCTAACACTAGGTTCCATTGTTATGTTTATTTTACAGATAAGAAAATCAAGGCCCTACAGATGAGGCCCAGTGAACTCCAAGCCTCCGTCATGTTGGGCCTCTGGTCTCCACTGGGTGAGGACAGCATCTCCCTGCACCTTTCTGGAGAATAGGGCAGCTCACAGGTGTTCAGGGACAAGTTCATGCTCACCAGTGGCACCCTACACATCTTCCAGACACCAGCTGTCGTCTCCTGCCTGGTGTCCGTGGCGGCTCGTCGCTCCCCAGCAGAATTGCCTGTGCTACACTGGGCAGGCTCTGAGTCCTCAAGACTCCAAAACTGCCTCAGCCTTGCCAGGTATGGGGAGAAGTTCTTCAAGGGTCTGACAAGATCCAGGGCAGAGCTGGGGCCAGATACCTCCCCCTGCAGTTTCTCCACGCCTTTCCCACCCCCTGGGCCCGGATACCTTTGCACAGAAGTGGCTGCCTTGGCTACATGCCAATCGTCCCCAAGAAGACTATGCCCTGTTGACAATGGAACACTGATGTCTGGTTTTTGGGAGGGATCAGACAGAGCACCCTGTGCAGCAGGGAGGAGATTCAAGCTTAGGTCTGCCTCGGTGTACAAAAGCCCTGCTCTTCCTCATACCTGCTCTTCCTTGTCCCAGAGGAGGAAATACCTGGAAGGGAGGGAAATCGCAAGACCAGGATACAAAATGGTGAGTGGGCATGGGGACAGTGATGGTCTGGGACAAGGAGAGGTAAGGAGACAGGCGGGAGGGTGCATCTCCAAGGGAGGTCCTGCAGGGCCAGTGGGCCAGGAGGGCATTTGCTTGGCCTGTCTGGCTGTGGGGGCTGCTTGGGGAGGGATCTGCCTGAGAGCTGGGGGGCTTTGCCAGGACCATCTGAGTCCGCGGGATCATTTGTCACCAAACTTCTCAGCCTGGTCTTAGCCACCCAGTAACTTGTGGCTTCTCCTAACAGCTCCCTGGGTTCTCATGGGGCTTCCTTCTCATTCTTCTGCAGACAGAAAACTCACACTTCTGGGTTGTTAAGCCCGACTGCCACTGCCCTTCACAAAGCTTGGCCCTCCTCCTGCTCCTGGGAAGATGTGTGCGTGTGCGTGTGCGTGCGTGTGTGCACATGCACGGACCTAGGGACTCTTCCTCTGCCCCATGGATTCCAGGTGGAGCAGCCCCCAGCACAGGAGGAGTGACAGGGAGCACTGGTGATGGTGGGGTGAAGACTACCAGCCAGGGCTGGCAGCCTTTTGAGGGAGGCAAAGAGGAAAAAGGAGCTCTAGTGAGGTGACCCCAACCTCCCCTCTCAGGCTGTGGCCTTGGACAGGAAGCCCTGGGGAGTGTGGCTGTGAGGGCGAGGCTTTGAAGTCCAGGCCCAAAGGAGCCAGGGCAGGAGATTGAGGTTTGCAGGCGGTGTTGGGAGGGCGTCTTGGTGCTGGCAGTGGCAGTGGACTTAGTGGCGATGGATGGAGCCAGGTGGGGTGAGGGCAGGGAGGGACACTTGTCAGAGAGTCAGGTGCAGGATGACAGGACAGGGTGATTCTGAGTGCTGACTGTGGGGACAGAAAGGACTTCCTTTTGCTATGGTTTGAATGTGTCCCCTCCAGAATTTAGGCATTGTGCAATGCAATGCAATACAAACCTTTGCCCACTGTCACCTGTGCCTCTGTGACTGCTCCTCCTTGTCTGTCCCCAGCAGATGCAGCACACCTGTGGGATTCTCCTGGCCTTGCCTGGTCTCTAAGCCTCAGGCTGCAACCCTGGCATTGCTTAACTTTTCCATCTAAAACCTTCCTCCCTGACCTCTGATGGCCTGGAGGCTCTGCCATGTCCCAAGTCACGCCGGCCCTGTCTTCTTCTGTTCCCTCTTACCAAACCCATCCACACCTATCTGTACCAGGTCCTGTGGGGAAGGAAAAGTCATGGGGAATTTTAACCTAATTTTTTTTTCTGATTCTACTTTTCAAACTCTAAATTCTTTAGGCAGTGGTACCCATTTCCTTTCCTCCTAGACTCTAAAAAGATTTATTGAGCAGGAGGAGGCAGGAGGTGGGCAAGGATGCCATGAACATGTAATGCCTGGTGGGGGAGGGGCAGGGGGTATCAGAGATTGAGACCTCCTTGCCTCCTGGGCAGAGCTCTGCAGACGCTGCAGTGCCATGATCACCTGGGAGGTCCGGTGACAATGGGAATCAATGCTCTGCTCCCTGGGTAGAGTCCTGGGAAGGAGCAGACCCTGGAGGGTGAATGGATCTAGGCAGACGGCCATAACCAGTGTTATAGAGAGGTCTGACGTGTGGCATAGGGACATGGGAAGAAAGCTGCTCCTAGGGGCCAGGGCAGACAGGGCCAGGGCCCAGGCCACCTACATGGCTTGGTGGCTGAGATA